TTGGCTGGAGGTGTGTTCTGTTCAGGTGGGGGCTTGGTTGTGCTCAGGTTGGTCTTAGTTACTGGGGGATTTGAGCTGGTGAGCTGTGATCTTGCTGTTGGCTTCGAGTTCGTGGTCGTGCTGCATCTTCATGGTGGGGGTCAGTTCGCTTCATGTATGGCTCGGAGGGGTTTGAAGTGGGTAGTGATGCAGCTGCAGTGCGGCTTCTGGTCACCACCACACTTCCATGTAAAAAGCAGACTCACACCCACACAGAAAATGAGACACGACCACAGACCAGAAGGCCATTGAGTCAGAGTTGTCTGAAGACATTTCCATGGTTAGTTGACCAGCATGACAGTGTGGAGTGCTGATCCCTTCCCACTAAAGTGGTTCTTATTTATCTACTTGCATTTGTATGCTTTTTGAACTGCTAGATTGGAAGGAGCTGGAAAAAGGATGGGAGCTCACCCATCACATGGAGCTCAGGTCTCGAACCTGTGCTGCTGGCTTTCCAGACGACAAGCCCAGCATCTTAACCACTCAGCCACCATGCTGCATTGCATGTGGTTAGATTTAAACTGGCTCGTGAATACTGTAGTATATTTTTCCTTGTATTAGATGAAACATCGAAGAAGCTACATGATTGCAGAAAAATTATCCAGAATGTATACATTTTTTCTTGCTGGGACTAATGAGCTGAAAATTAAAAAAAAAAAGCTATGGATCACTCTGATTGTACACAATAACTGCTGAAAACTATTATACACACCAAAATGTGGTTCTTTGCATTTTCTAGATCGTTTTTATGCAGTATTGATGCATCAGCTCTGATGTTGATGTTCTGACCCTTGATACTTCCTTTTAAAGGTTAAAATACTACCTACTTGTCTATTAAGCTAATTCATCCTATTGATTTAAGAAACAAGAAAATCCTTCCTTCTTTCCCCCTCCCTCCCTCCCTCCCTCATTCTTTTCCTCCTTCCTTCTGTCCTCCCTTCACCTCCCCTTCCCTTCCTCATATTTCCAAAGTACCTTTTTTTCTTCCTGTTAATATATTTTCTTCCTTCATTTTGAGAACATTGACTCAGCTTGTGTTTTATCCTGATCAAATTGTAGCTTTGTTCTATTCTCACATTTGCAGGTTATTGCATTTTATTCCAGTTGTGTCCCTTTCTCCCCTGACTTTCATCTCATTTCAGCTTAAATGAAATCTTAACAGTTCTGTGAGGTCTCTTGTGTCCACAGATAACTTTTATAATTTCCCTAACAAAAAAGAAAAGAAAAGTCTGGTCTTCATTAAACAACAGGCTTGGCTTACTGTATTATTAATTAGAATCAGGCAGAAATGACCTTTTTTAAAAAAATCTAACATCTGAGGTGGGGAAATTGAGTCAGTGATTTCTCTACAGGAAGGAGAAAGTTTTCAGCAATTTCTAAAGGGAAGTATATATACTTCTTTTTTAGTAACAATTGTTTTCACGGAGAAACAACAACAAAGGAAAGTTTCCTCGTGATTTCTTCTCTTGGAATATCATTGAAGTATGAAAGTGAAAATATCTGCAGACCACCACACACAAACACACACATACATTTAATGCATTATCCAACTAAGAGTTATTCTGTAGTAAGGTGAGCTGCCAATACATTTTATAAATAATAGATAAATAATAACCCAATTAGTTGCACAAATACTGCACTTTAATCATTATAATTTAATTCAAACTCAGTTCATGTTTGGCAGAATTTCTCTGAAGTTGTCTCCACTTTGAAAAATATCTAAAGCAAAATTTCCATCAAATTTAATAACAAACGTTAGAATTTTTCAATGTAGATCAATTCCACACTCTGTTACTACTCACTGTTTAGAACCGCTTTTCAGAGTAACTGATCAGTGGGGGAAAGCTAATGGGCAAATTCTTGATTTTAGGTGGGATAGCACTGAGCACACATTTGGAGCCATCCTTTTATTTACTATAACATTTATTTCAGTCTACGTGTATACTTCTGACTAGGAAAAAGAAAACCTGTTTTATAGTTATATACTCTACAGGATATATTTAAAATGGCTTTCTTAATAATGCTGCATTTACTTGCAATATGTATGCTCTGAAAACATGGCAATTTTCCCAGATTATTTTCCTGAGCCTTTAAGAAGATATGGTACTTTAATATTTAAAGCAAATGGCTTTACCCAGTCATAAGCAGATACAAATGATGATAAATTGGTTCCAGGTAGCAAAACCATGGCTAGTTTCTGCCTGAAGCTAGAAATACAGCTGAAGAAATGTGGCTAGCTACTACTAGTTAAAAAGATCACATTGACAATCTGGACAATATAGGAAAGCTTTACATCTTTAAAAACTGTTTATCACTTATATCCTACAGATAGATGATGATGATGATTTAAAAAAAAAACTAAGTGTGTCTGATATTTCCATTAAGTATTTTTATTTATTTTGGAAACATTGATAAGAATCCAACATTGCATTGTTGGCTGGAAATAGTGCTATATAATTCATATCAAATGTTTGTATTTAGTCATTATATTCAGTAGAAGGACAAATCTTGAAGTTTATATCATCAGTTCTCCAGTGTGCCAAATGTGGTTAAAAAGTGTCACTAGATATTTTAAAGCTATTATTTATTATAAACAAGATTGCAATTGTGTCAAAGAACAGTAAGAAAATGAGCATTAAGTTCAGCTAGTGTAAATATTCAAATCAACTAACATGTATTAATATATCTGACAGTAGTCTTACATAAGTTCTGTTGATTGAGCATTGTAGGATTTAGTGGGCAAATTTCTGTGGTCTCAGCAGATGCATGTGGGATCAAATGCATTTTCCAGTTGAGTGCCACAGT